CAAATTTTTTAAAAAAAGACAAAAACACCAAAATGATAGATTTTTTGACTCTGCGTGTAAAAAAAAAAAAAAAAAAACGAAGAAAAGATTCGAAAGAAAGGGAAAAAGTTGAGGAGAAAACGCGAGGGAAGCTCGTCCTTTTGTATTATTTTTTTTTTTCTGAAATAAACGTTATAGATTAAAAAGTATAAAAAAAAAACCTAGTAAATATATCTGAGATATGATGATAGATTGGTTGATAAGAAGACATGCTATATAAAAGGAAATGATAAAGAAAAAATAAATCACTGGCCAACTGTGTTAGTTAATCAGGTTGCCAAACCGGTATCGTGATATAAATATACAGTACTTTTTATGTGATTTTTTTTACCAGGGACCTTTAAATGTGGGACCCATTTGATCGACTGATAATTTAGAAGTCATCATGATATAATGTTGTATTCTGTAAATGGAAGTGTGACAAAAAAAAATATTACATTACAGCCAATCCTTCGCAAGAACCGAAAGGTACCGGGTCCTTGTCTCACTCGATAAAAAACGAGGGGACCTTCATGGCATAATGAACTCATTTATAGTGTGTGTTTTGGTCTACAAAAAAATACTCATTAAAATTAAAAATTCATCCATATCACATCCCAAAGAGAGACGAATGTCTCTTGAAATTATTATGACAAATATGTCAATATTTTTTTTTTTATTTTCACGGGAAACTCCTCTTCGATATTTTAACAAAAACATCATACAAGGTTTTCCATGAAAACACCATTAAAGTAAAGTACATACATACATACATTATATCATTCAAAGGAAAAAACCTGTAATCTCATCATGATGCTTGCCCTTTTTTATTATGTTATTACTTTGTTTAACGTAAAGAAATCAGAAAAGAACTTGGAAGAATTCTCTGAGAAAAAAACGAATAATTCTCTTGATTTTCATGTTAGTCTAGACTCTGCTTACTCAGGTCCCAAAGGTAAAATGTCATTAAAGCTTTAGATGATGCGTAGATGACGATTGATTTGCGTTAAAGATAAGCTATGCAAACAATCCAACGAGAATAAGGGAAAGCTCAATGACGTCTTTTGCTTTTTTTAAGAAAAAAAAATTTTAAGTTTATGTAAGTTATTAGATCTTTTTTTTTTTGAATTAACCTGCGTTTATTGACCAATTGCACCTCAATAGTATGACGGTGAGAAAGATACGGTAATTAATTATTATTTATTTTTTTTCTTATCCAAAGAATCAATTCGACGAAGAGAAGGGTGACTATAATGATTAATCATGAAACAATATCATTCCCTTCCGATTTTATTTTACCAAAATCTACTTGTCTTGTACCACGGTGATGAATGAGCTTCCATAAACAAACATTTATTACATCATGAAATGTAACCGTGCGATGGAATTTTTTTCTCTTTTTTTTTCTCGAAATCGATTTTTATTCTAAAGCTAAATATAAATATTTAGTTACATTATGGAAAATCAACTCTAAATTAAACGAATACCAACGAAAAAGACATTACGATACACTAAGTTTGTGTGACAAAACAAATTAATAATCCAGTCACAAAAATTAGACCCGGAATAATTCATATCATTTACGTTTGTTACATATTTTGGAGAGAAGAAAGATTAACGATCAAAGAATGATCTCGTCAAAAGCGAGAAATCCTTGAGAAAAAAAAAAGAAAACCGGTCGTCACCGCATGAGTTGCATAAGGGCCCGCAAAGGCAATGATAGCATGAATGAAGTCATTATGTCCTTAAAAGGTTAAAGAAAAGAAGGCTGGAAAAGGTTAGAACTTGCCTGAAAGGTGATGGCACCTCCCGAACCCTTGAGGTCCCAGGCCCGAACACGACATCAAAGAATCTTCCATGTAGTAAACACAAGGATGTATGTATTGTTTAATTAAATGATTAAATAAATTAACAAGGGCGTAGAGAAATACGTCACAACATCACTTTTAAATGATTTTCGGTCGCATGGCAGAAATACGAAAGAGAGCAAAAAATACCGTGACCTTCGTGATTAAAGGATAAGAAGAAGCACATGATCAAAAAATACTGATAATTTCCAACAAATGATTACATTTGATGTAGGTGATCAATCGTTCACAAACAATAATAATTTTTTAAAATAAAAAAATGAATTGGTCATACATTAACTAATGAAGTCAACAAATATGGTATTTCACTTTGAGAATTGAGACGAGCGTTATTGACACTAGTGCGTCATAAACGCTTATTGTTTTGTTATTGTGCGACACTATTAAGAGTTTTCGGACCATACTCATTTAGGATAACGCCGTTATGATATTTTAATACGGATAACTTTTCATCCCGACAATAATAATAAATAGTTTCAGTTGAACAACAATTGAAACGTTACATTGCCATTTGCAAATCATAATATTTTCATGCTTTGCGATCGTTTATATTTTCTCTCATATTTTCTCTTCTCTTATCATTTTATTAATTTAATTTTTTTTTTTTTAGACAAATAAATCGCACAATGGGAATTTTTTTATTATGACCACCACTTTCAAATGGCTTATCGAGTAGTAAGTGACTCAATACTTGTTATTTTTTTTTTTTTTGATTCACTACATCAATATTTCTAAATCTCGACGCGAGGTTCGACTAAATCATACGCGTATATCAAAGCTTAGCCAATTTAAGCATAATGCAATAAAACTAATAAGTTTTCAACTTACTTGGCGTCAATCATATCTATATCTGAAAAACGTGAGATAAGATGTTTGTCAAGAGGGCGTTATATACATTTTTATTATTATATGGTGGGAATATCATAAATGAAAAAAAAAAGAGATCCATTATGTCATAATGTTCCCACATTTTCCTGTTTGTTACCTTTTGTTTTACTTAATACTTCATTGTTTTTTATCGGCTGAACCAAAATGGCCCCTGCGATTGATGTTTATTATCAAAATTAGGGATAGTTGTTTCTCTGGCACTTTTTGCGCTTGAGTTTCTTTTCCCTTGAAATCAACACACCTTGACAAAAAAGTTTCCCAGTTGGTCAGTTTCAGACATTCCAAAATTATTCAAAACGACAGAATTGTGATTTCTTTATATATTATTTATATATATATATATATATATATTTTACCAGCCTTTCCCGACCTTTTGATGTTATGCACCTTCATATGCTAATGTCCCTTTTGCTCATGCCACGAGAGAAAATAGTTGAAAAGTGTCAAAATTCGATCTAACAATCATTTGTTAGAACAAAGGATAGATCACAAGATAAAGAACCATATATTTCTTCCCATTTAGTATACGTTTATCATGTGTTATGAATAGTATACTCGGTCTACTTTTAGCCGAACTCCAATCAAATGCTTGTTCTGGATTCTTTTTTGAAATGAATAATATGAATAAATTATACCAACCTCAATTTTTTTGACCTATTGTTATACGTTGTGCTACATTTATATGTTTTCTGATTTAACCATATTTATGCAAGGCTTACAAATCGTCGGGAATTGTTACCTAATCCCCACTAATTATTCAAAAAGGATTGATTTTATTTTATCTGAAATGTTTTTTGTCACATCATATTAAAGTTTTCTTGTATGATGTATCCTTTTTACATTACCTTGATTTCGATTGATATCACATGTTACAACTGTAAAACGCCTACTTACCTTTTTGACCCTTATAATTAACATCCCACACTTTTTAAATTTACATTCCGACCAAAAAAAAAAAATACTATTACTAAAATGAAATATTTTAATTACTAAACTATAAATCTATCATAACACAGCCAATACTCCGTTCCCAAAACCCCGCATTATCATATATATATATATTTTTTTTTTGTTTTTGACACTTATTATTTATACCAAAATTTGACATATAATGATGGCTTTATTTGTTTATTTGTTATACGGTATAAGATATATCGGTTTTAGTTACTAGCCTAAAACTAAGCTAGTTAGAAAACGGATTTGTCTCGTTTTAGTTATAATGATTACTAAAATCCTAGTTACAATACGAGAAGCATTATTATTCCATATTGGTGCTCGTTTCTTTCTTTTTGAAAAAAAAAAAAAAGGAGTCAATGCATGTCATCTCTTTAATAAACAAATTTTCACGCTCAGTCGAAACAATCAACGATATGAATAATTGTAACCACATTGTTGCATTCATCGAACTTCCCTTTTTGATGAATTTCTGTAACCTATAAGACTAATGATGTTTTAGTGATGTTTGCATAACCCAATTGTCTCTTTGTTTGTACACTTTTTTAGTTCCTTGACAGTTTCCCCACTTGTTTTTTTTTATAAACAATGGAAACTTTAATAGGAAAAAAAAAGTGACCAAAGGTTGGTTATACTTGGAAAGGAATAAGGGTTTTCAACTTAAATGATTAAGAAAAAAAAAAATTTTTTTTTTTCCTAAATCAAAATGGTAAATAACATAATATCGTTAGTAAAAAATAGGAAAGTATACACTAAAAAAAAATCTACGATTGATTTTTTCCGTATGTTGGGCATTTCCCAAAATTTACTAGTGGGGTTTAAAATCAAAAAAATTGTCACACAAGAAAAGAAATTAATATATATATATATTTATTTATTTTTATTTTATTTTTTTTTTTTAAAAAAGAATCATGTCGTGAATATTTCTTTTCTCTCACGATGACGGATAACGCAACGGAATCATTATTGAACATAACGTAATGAAGATAATAATCATCTGTCTTTTTTTTTGCTTTCACACATGTTTATCACTCGAGTAATTTAATCATGCACATGCTTCTCCTCGGGTTATTTTCCTGATCATTGTTGAAACAATTGCGGAGAAAACAACTTACGAGACGAAACGAATGATGATTCATTGAAAAGCAAGGAATTGGGACATCGTTTAGCCTTTACCCTCTCTTTCATTGGAAAGGGTTTTTTTATGTGGTTGGACACGGGACCAGTAAAGTTGTACCGAACACAAAAGCTTAGTAATTTGCACATCTTGCTTTATTCGAAAAAGATGGAAAAGAACGTTTTGGAATCCGTGACGTAACGTGCTAGGGACCCAAAGAACTCGTAAATTTTAACGCGATCTCTACAATCAAAGTCACAATCCTTTTTAACCATCAAAAAGATAAATAGCATTTGACATCTCTCGAGCCAAATCAATTGACCAAACTTGGTTCATACATTTCCTATTTACAGCAAATTTTCCTTTAATCTTTTTTCTTTTTGAAGAAATAATAAATAGCTCATGATTATGATTCATTGATAAAAAAAAAAAAAAAAATAATAATAATTTTTAATTATCTCATAATAAAATTCCCATGAATTTTTATCTTTTTTTAGAAAAGATCTGAAATCATTCGATCCGTGAGACTTGATATTTTTTTTTTTTTTTTTACAAGAATTAGGGTTGTTACTTTTTTTTTTGTTTCATTGTTTGACCTTAATCCTTCTTTTGTTTAATTGGCGTTTTGTTTTTTTTCTTTTTGATGATTTATTTACTTTTTTTTTCCTGATACTCATCTTTATTTGTTTATGATTCGTAAAGTTGGGCGTAAAAAGTGTACATGAAGCACATCTCTTTCAATCTCCCAAGTATTACTTGATCTGACCGGATTTTACCTTTTTACGGTTTGAAACAAGTCGGGGAAGGTTTTACTTGTTTCGCAATGTTATAACGTTAATTTATATTTGTATCACAATATCTTTTTAAATTAATCCAATTTAGACGTAATTCGCAAATTCTTGAAACAATCGGATAAAAAAATAATATAAATAAAATTTCTTTACCAGTTTTGAGATATATACTTTAAAAAAAAATGGTTTTGTAAATATGGGAATGTTACGCGTTGTAAAACATTGGTAAATATCACGAGATCAATAATAATTTTTTTTTTTGTTTTTCTTGTTGTATTGGACAATTTTGATTGAATAATAATTACACAAACTAAATTAAATTCTTAGGCGCAAAAACAAATCACAAATTCAACGTTTTAAATTTCGAACGATAAAGACATTTTTTTTCTCTCTTTTTTTTTTTCCATCTATCAGAGTATTCATCCCATCGATAAGGTAACGAAAAAAAAAAAGAAGATATCAATTCTTGAAACATCACACCGCAGTAATCTTTAAAACATTTGATTGGCCACAGGACGAATCTATGTCACTCACTAGTTAAACTTAAAAAGGCAACTTGGCAATTCTCACCAGATTTTTTTTTTTTTCTTTCTTTATTTCCCTAAAGAAAATAAGAAGAATTTGGGTACCGCGTGTAACGATAAATAATTGGTCATGTTTCATTTCCTTCTCGTAGATGAAGAGATGAAAACTTTGTATTACGACGCTAAGGAAAAAAAAGGAAAAAAAGAAAAAGGCGAACAACTCAATCTCAGATCTGGCAGTATCACAGTGTTACGGGATCTGGTATCACACCCTGTATAATATCTGGTGACCAAAAAAAAATATCATATAATTTTCTTTTATATCCGAAAAATGATTCACTATTTTTTTTAAAAAAAAAAAGGACCCCAGGTAAAGAAGTAGAAAGAAAGATTTCGTTTGGCGTATGTCATTATCCAATGTAATTTTTTTTTGGAAAATAAAAAATTGCTCTCTTTTTTGCTTTAAATTGGGTTTTGTATAGAGTATTGACATGATGAAAAATTTCATGTCATGCAATGTGGCGTCTTTATTCAGAATAAAGAGAGTAAGGTGGAAGTTTGTATTTAGAAGATAAAGTGATAAAAAGAAACTGCGGGGCAGCCCATAGTCGACCACAAAAAAAGATGATGTATGTGCCCATTTTTCATGCATTATTATTATTATCAACCATTTTTCAGAGTTCATCCGCAGCAAAAAAAGGTTTGATGGTACTTTAGAAAAATTCCGACATGCATCCGTTCACCAGCATCATGCGCGCTAATAACCTACAGTTATTTTTCTTTCCTTTTTTTTTTTTTGTTAATGTAATGCTGCATAATTATCACCCTAATTTATTTTTTTAAAACAATAGTTCCTTCAAATATATTGTGCGACCCATTTCACTTTTTCGTTGAATAAAAATTTTGGGATTTTCAAGATTCTGAAACGGGCACCCATTTTTTTTTTCTCAACCCTCTCCCATCTTCATGTGTCCCCCGTTTATTTATTATTTTTATTATTATTATTATTATTATTACTATTATTATTATTATTATTCAACGGAAAATTTAAAATATAATTATTGTGTGTGTGCATGTGTTGCCTCATGTGGAGAAATAAGTTTAGGGAACAACCGCATGCGTAACATCTTTGTATTGGTTTCTAAATCGGTGAACCTTCTTGGATAGGAAATCTGATAAATGATTCTTTCTTTTTTTCTTTTTGATTTTATTTTCGGTGACTTTTATCGTGGTGAAGGTGATGGACGATCTATGTAACTAATGGTAACTATAGTTGATTGTTAATGGAAACATTTTCTAAAACTTTTTTTTTTCGACGAAAAGGGATTGCGCCAAAAAAATTCCCTTTTTAACCATTGATATACATTTTGCCGTTGCCAAGTCTAGTTTGCCAAGGGATGTACAATTTTTGATATATATATATATATATATGTATATATTTTTATGTATACAAGTTAAGGGTTCATTGACCCCGATTGTCCGGAACTTTCTCCGCACCTTTTTTGATCCTTCATGGAATTCCATAGGAATGGGTGATGGAAACTTTCAAATAAGCGTTAACGCCAATTCTCCGCGGATGTAAGGCCTCCGAAATTCGGATGATGATGTCGAGACACGTTACATTATTAGTTGAATTATGACTGCTTTTTAGTAACGAGATGGTAAAGCACCACAAAAACGTCGCACATCGTGTTCAAATGGAAATGATTCTGGGCTGGCGAATTAGATGGAAGTCCCTTCTTTTTTTTTTAAACTTTCGACCGCAGATCCAAACAAAAGAGGCCCGTGTGTCATTTTTCAAATCCGTCATAGTCGCTTTTAAAACATCCTCATAGGGTTTAACTCTTGTGATAACGATATGTGATAAGTAAATCTTTAATTGTTTCATACGTTGTGTCATATGAGCATTTAAGAAGTCATTTAAGCTTACCGTTTTGATTGGTCCACAACAATATCTCTTTTTTTTGAAACTACAACGCGAAAAAAAAAAATTTAATATTTATTAAATAAAAGACGTGGTACATGGTTTTATTCAATTATATTTGATCAAAAATTTTTTTTTTTTAAGCGATGTTCGGATCGGGAACTTCGAACTTTTCTGTTCTTTTCTTCCATTTATTTTTTTATTTTCTTTTTTTTTTTTTTTTTTTTTTTTTAAAATAAATCATAAACCGAGATTGTTATAATATGTAACGATACGAATAACATTCACAAATAAATAAATGAGTCACGCGGGGTTTGAACCTGATTTCCTCCAACATCCTAATTTTGCGATTGAGCATCCGAAAATTGATCCATTTGAGAAATCAATCGTTTTCAACATACAGCATTTCGCAGTACCATACATTTAAATATATATAATTAATTTATATATCACATCTTAATTTATATTATATTTAAACTAAGTCAAATCAAATCAAAGGTCTGATCAGAAACCTTCCTACAAATAACAATTTAAGACAATTTATAACCGGGAGATTTTTTCTCCAAAAGAGGGTTCATTTCTGATAAATTAGGTTGGTTCCGATCGGCCGACACTAAAATGAATAAATAAAATAAAACTCGGGAAGAAGGGGACTTAAATGAGACTAAATCCTACCTTATAGATATTAAAAAAAAAAGTTTTGTTCTGTGCGCGTATTTTGGTTAGATTGGTGATGTCCTAATTCGGTGTTTCCGTATGTCATCTGCTCTTTATCAGTAAAAGTATGTAGGTCGATGCTCTCTTTCTCACTCTCCTTTTTTTTTTTTTTTTAAAAAAAAAAAAAAAATTTCTGACCCTTCTTTTAGAATAATTTTATGTATTTCGCATACTCATGCAATTCATTGAAAGAACCTTTTTTTTTTTTACACAAGATAAATAAAATGATGTTCCCATCCCTATAAAAAACGTATAATATTTTGTGATTTACATATTATCTTTAATAGATCTTTGTTGATGTCATTGATTATATTTCATTGGGAATTTTGTATGATGGTATAAAAATTTTTATGTAAAAAGATTATGTAAATAAACAACGCCAACAATGAATCATGATTCAAGAATTTGTCTTTTTCGTTACGTAATGACTTATCTAACATTTGACATGATTTACTTATAAAACATGTTTCAGGACAAGTTTTCCGTTATCTATAAGGGAAATCATTTTTTATAGAAAGTTCGCGATTGGTGCTAAAAAAAAAAAATCTCAAAGAATGTAATCGTTACATTCTTAATCAACAAAGTTCTTGGTTCTTTAATGGTAAATCCATCTCATCATTGACCAGTTATGCTGGTTCAATTTTTTTTTCTTCTTCTTCTTGATTAACAAATATTTTACTCATTTTTTAATTTATTAAACGGGGAAGCAATTTTTCCTTTTTGAAAAATGTAAATAAATCTCTCTCATACATGGGAAATTTTGCGAATAGAAAGAGGAAACTGCCCGGGGGAAATTAAAAAATGAGAATGAGTTAATGTTAAAATCTCGGCCTAAAAATACGTATTTGGTTTTTCCCCCCTTCCTATTGCAAATTGCAAAGGGCCCATATAAATACCCTTTTCAAGCAAAGATCGTGAAAAGTGGTTTATCATCATAGGTACGATGATTAAAGAAAGTCTTGACCGCTTTGGAAATGACAATTAAAAATTATTATTATTATTGTTAATAATTATTTTTTTTTTTTTTAAAAAAAAAAAAAATATGCAAAAGAAATTTCTTTTTTTTTGGAGGCAAATTAAAAAAAATATATATTATTGATTAATCATATTTTTAAATTAAAAATAATTTTACAACAATCTAAATATTTTTAATTTATTTATTTTACTTTACTAAAAAAAGTGTATATAATTATTTTTATCAAATGAAACGTATTATAATAAATTTTAACAAATGTTATATTATTAACATTTACATGTAGAAATCAAAAATAACTTTTTTTAAGTTTTATTATTAATTAAGATTGTATTAATTTGAAGTTGATCTATTAGATAATATACAGTATATAATTAAGAAAAAATTTTATATTAGCCATTTAAACTATTATTTTATACTGTTTAAAATAGATCATGAAGATGATTTTATAACTTTATTGTTATAAATATAATCTAAATATAATTTTA